CTCTCATACAGCACAAAAACCTTGTTCATTTTGATTGATTTGTAGAGAAAAAATTAAAAATGCAGTTCAGCTCCACATACCCAGACAACATCATATCATTGAGATAATCTGTATCATGCTCATTCTTTGAGGGAGACAAATACAGAAAACTCTAACTGCAAAAATATTTATCTGATGAATTGTCACAGTGTTGACACCAACATTTCCATATATAAATTATACATTAAACCTGTTCAGCTTCCTACTACAGGAGGCCATTTTCTGGGTAATTAATTTTCTGATTTATAAGGAATAGGAGAAAGGAGAGCAGCAGAGTACCCTATAGATTATGTTTGCTCTGACAAAGGTAGTCACAAATACACATTGGGTTAAATTCCACAAAAACCCATTTCCATTTTACCTTCTTAAATTGCCAATTAAAGGTATTGCTTAGGTTTGACTTTTGCCCGCTGTTAGGGAGTTTCTACTTTCTTCAGAACTGCAGTGAAGAACTATTGGAATCAGATTTGCATGTCAGGCATCTGGTTCTGCTGGAAATACTTTTTTTGCATTCATGAACTGACGTGCACCAGAGTTAGAAAATATAACTTCTTTCAGGTGTGCTGGCCATTAAGTGTACAGATGTAATTGATTTCTACTGCACAGTTTCACAATGTGATGTTAAATGGTCTCTCAGTGAAGATGGTTTCTTGTTTAAAACAGGAAAGATAAAAAGCCAACTGCAAATTTTGGATATAAAATTGTAATTACTATTTAATAGTCTTGCCTATAGACTCAAGGGGTCAGAGTAGATGCCAATAATATTTTTTTATCTTAAAATATTTTTTTCCTAGAAGACAATTGACATCATCCTTTTTTGGATCTTGAAGCTGCTTAATTTTCAGTTTCCCTTAATATAAAAGTGAATTTCCAGACCTTCTTTCCCTGCTGCACACTATAGAATGTGGAGTGGTTTTATTCCTGTTTTAAATTAGTGGCTACCAAGAAATGTAAAGCTACCACAATTACATGTTCTTTATTCCCTTGAAATTGAGGGGTTTGAGGTTTTTCATCTGCAGATTTTGTTTTTGACTCTTGCATGACACATTTTATGTTCATGCTACTTTCTTTAGGGCAGGAGTTCCTCTGAGTTTATAGATATCTTCATAGCCTGAAAGAGTAGAATAGATGGGAGACTTCAATTCTCTAATGTTGTGCCGAGTTTCTGAAAGTTTATAGTTGACAGGAAAACGTGGTTGCTGTTTGTGAATACAACATAGCATTTGTATAAAGTAATTTTATACTAATTTAACTGGAATTATCTTTATAGCGCTACCTTTCAAACCCTTCTGTTTTCCTCAAAGTTTGAGTGGCCACATATGAAAACTTTTCTCTGCACCTCTTTGGGATGGGATACAGTGAGGCCGAACAAAAGCTGTTCATGACAATGAACTTCTCTAAATAAAAGTGCTTTGAAAGAACACTTCTGCTTCATCTGGAGTTCTATATCCCAGCTGCTGCAGTTCCCCATGGATTCAAGAGCTTGGCTACAGTGGGATGTGTGCACCCAGCAGCTCAGCCAAAGGCTTGGGTTTTTCAAAACAAAGCAGTAATTGTGAGTTCAGTTTCGGTTTCCTATGGTGTCTTGAGGATGAAGTGTTCTTGTGTTTTAAGTGTGCTGTCCTATGGAAATCACAAGTGCAGAGCTGGGGACAGGTCAGAAAGGCTTTGTGCTAGAGTTAAAATCATCAACAGACTTAGGGAATACTCACTGATCATTTTTTAATTGTTTGGAAACTAGCTACTGAGGGCCCCAAATCTGCACTGATTCTTAAAGCAGTGCCACTGAGTGCAGGTTGTCCATAAATGCCCTATTCAGCACTATGAAATTTGGTGTTTAGAAAGCAAACAAGTCCATGCAAACCATGAAGTAAGATGTAAGTTGTAGAGAGTGTTTAGCAAGCCAAATAGTGTACCCATCTGTGTAGTTTTACTCTTAATTTCTAAAGAAAATAATATTAGTCACCTGCAGTAAGTGCTAAATGGTGCTTGCTTCTGTATTTGGATTGTTTGGCTCCATGTGTCTTGAGAAAAGGTTAAAGCTGAAATTAGTATCAGAATGAGTCAATGTTGAAGGAATTATTTCACTTTGGGGGTGAATGAAATGTGTTCAGATTATTCAACAGTTTTAATTTCTTTGCCATTTAAAAAAAACCCAGATTGATTTCTAAAGGGAAGCAATGTATAAACATCACTTCTGAATGAAGTACTTCCTTTAGAAGATACTGAATAAATTGTTCCAATTTTTTGTTGCTATTTGTACCTTGCCTAAAATTTTTAGTAGAATTTGTGCATCACATGTTCTCACAAATGATGGCATTTAGTGAGCTTATTCAACATAAAGGAAATTTTTTGTAGCTTTAATTAAATAATGACTGCTGGCTGGTGCTGAAATAACATCACAAGTGAGCTGAATTCTTGGAGGTCCATCCTTAGCTCACTAACAAATTGCTCCTGGGCAGATGTTTCAGGAACATATCTTCATTGCAATGAAACAGTTTCCTTGTTCCTACTGTGCTAAAATCACTGAGAGAGGTCTCCTCAAAATTTCAAGATCCCTTTGGGATTTTTCTGAGAATTGACTGACAGGCAGCTTTGCAATTTGCAAAGAAACATATTTATGTGATTAGGGAGGAGCCCTTTAGCCACTACAGCTGAGCTGGGAGGAAGTGGAGGACCCTGCCAATTTGGGTTTTGACACTGATGCAGTACCCAGAACTGTCAGCATTCCCAAAATGAGATCTCAAAAACTATTGAGCATTAGGTAGCTGAAGGACAGTCATGTAGGAGGGAGCACCATGCTGGTCTGCTGCTTTTATTTCTGACATTTATTCATTGTGAGCTGCAGCTTGTGGTGCTTAGACAGGAGCTATTTGTAAATGCTCTTATTTACCTGTCCTTAACAAGAGTAGCTGCGAGAAAATAGGGTAGGCTTATCACAGCATGGCTAGAAAATAATTTATCTATCTAAATTACATTTGTGTTAGAAAATCATTAGAGAATAGATGATGCTATTTGGAAGCAAGTATTTCAAGTATCCCAAGTGGATGGTTGAAGAGTACATCAGTGTCAGAGGAAGGTCAGTGAGTGAGCATGTGCTTCAGTGGGTGGACATGCAGTGACATTTTTTCTGACTTTGAACTTGGAAATGTATTCCTTATTTATGCTCAGGCCTCTACAGACCCTGGTTAACACTTATTTAAGATTTTTATCTCCTATGGAGACAAGCTCCTGACAGTGACCAGTGTCTCTTTCTCTTTATTACTGAATATGGGTCTAACCAGAGACATCAGACCTCAGCATTTCTGAAATTTCTGGCATTATGTGGTCTTGAATTCTGTAGAGTCCTGTCCTTTGTTTCCAATTCAGTTATGGATGGAAAAGTAACAAGAGAACCTGAGTAAGAACATTAAACCAATTTTTGTTAGGGGACTGAGCCACCTAATTTGAAGTAATTGGATGAGTTTCAATGTAACACAATGTAGAGCAGCTTGAGTTATGCTGTAGCTTTGTTAGTGCTCTTGGGCCAGAACTGAGCTGCTCAGGGCCCGTGCCTGGTGTGGCTGGGCACTGGGTTAAACATCAGCTTCTAAACTCAATTCTCTGAACCTGGGGCTACCAAGAGACCTCTAACTACTGGATGACCTAGGTATGCACCAGATGCAGCAAATCCAGAGGGTCTCTCTCACCTCCCATGATCAGCCACAAGTCTGCTTTTTGGTCTTGTATCTTGTCCTGCAGCTGTTTGTCTGTTTTGCAGAAAAGTGCCAGGAGAATATTGCAGCCTACCTGGGGCCCCCTCCTGCCCACGAGCAACCCCCAGTGCTCCTGTTCCCTGAGACACCTGGCATCTGGCACTCTCTGAGAGAGGCTGCTGGGTTTGTGAGCCTCTGGCATGGAGGGCATTGCTGTGCTCCTCTGCAGCCTCGTGTTCCTCTGCCCGTCTGGACACAGCAGTGTTGGACTTCCTCCCACACACTGTGCCCCACTAATGACATGAGGTAGTGACCGTCTGCAAACTCGTGAATACTTGGTATGGAAAGAGGGCAGAACTGTAGCCAAGGGGAGAATGGGATTTGCCCAAGATAATTCAATATTTTCTTGCTAGTTTTGCAATTTTTTAATGTAAATTACTAAAATATTCAAGGACAAAGGAACCAGATTTTGAGAGCAGGATTTGGAAGGTACAGGAAAGCTCAATGTGTTCAAGTCATCAGTGGATTTAGCCAGACACTGATGGCAGCTCAATAATCTTTGAGTCCACTTGTTTGCTGTGGTGCTGAAGAGCCTCACTGTAGGGTACAGTTCTCCCTGCTTCCATGGTCCTGTATGCCTGGCAAAAGGAGTCAGTGCAAACCTGCCCCGCTGCATTAATCAGGAGAGCCTGGTGCACAAAATGATCCACAGTTCCCTGTTCATTCTGTGATCCAGAACCCTTATCCTCCTGCTTTGCATTTCCAGCAGACCCTGAAGCAGCCATGCAGACTTGGTTTGATTTCATTCTCAAAGGGAAAACCTGGAAGCTTTGTGAAAGGTCTGTGTGAGAAACCAAGCCCTGTAACTAGCTTCTACACTTTGCAAGGTTCAGTTTGGATGAAGAATCAGAAAATACAAAGATATGTTCTTGACATTTTTTAATGCAGAAAAAGAAATCTCAGATGAGCAATACTGGTGGAAATGATTTTAAAACCTCCAATTTTCCTCTGATGCTTACCTATATTTTTATGCTGTTTACAGTGAAAGGGCCAGCCATTAAAATGGACAGGCAAGAGGCTGCCTCTAGATTGTACAAGGAGTTAGAACAAGGTCTTTAAGAAAGAGTTTTGAATGTTATCTCCTGGTTGAAGTTGGTCCAATTACAAAATTGTTATGTGTGACAGAGTGCCTTGGTCAGGGAGCCACAAAATTATTCGGAACATACTGGATAGATGTTGCTTAAATGGTATTTTATTTCTGTGTTTCTTTTTTCTTCTTCTTTTTGGTTTTTAAGATGCAAACCTCTTTGTGTATGTTGCATATATACATACCATGTCCTAATGCAAACCCACTTACCTTTGAGTGTTGTGCACAGTTACCCCTGCTACATTTGTTAATTACCACAGTCTTATCTGACTAACTGTTTTCTCCCTTAATATTTGCTCTCTTCAGTCACTCTTCCTTTATTTGATCCTGCAGGGGTTTATTGCAGCATAATTATTTCCATGGTAACAGGCTGTAATTCCATAAACAGAAGATTGAGTTTGTTATATGATCAGGAAGCAGCTGGAGAGCCATAAAAGGCTGATTTTTCAGCAATGCTGAAATCCTGCAACCCTTATTGATATATTAATGTAATCAGCTGAATTTCTTGCTCCCTTCACAAATCCTCCCCTAAATAAAGACACATAACACAGTGTTGAAATTCAAAGGTGTGTAAACTGAAATGTTACGGGCAGAATTTCCCCCCATTCTTCTTAAGAATAGCAATGGGGGGGTTTTTTGATTGTATTTTGGGAAAAGAGAGATATACTACACTTCTGTGACTATTAGCAGGGGCAGTGCACAAATTAATTGTAGATTTTCAGTTTATTGTGGGATGATGCTATTTTTGTTACTTTCCTCATTACAATCTAATTATTCTCTGTAGATTTTAATGGATTTACAGAAGTTAAGGTTTTGAGAAGTACATTCTGTCCTTTGTCTGAATAGTCTCTCAAAAACATTCACAGTAATTTCCTAGGTTTTCTCCTTAGAAGTGAAATTCTGTTTGTGTGTTTGTAAAAAAAAATGATAATTCAATACTTATATTGGCTAAGCTCAAGGAACTGAGAACAGCCTAAAGCTCACATCCTCATTTTCATCCTAATCAATGCACTTCTAACACATGCCCTCTAGCTAATGAAACTCTGAATGAAACCTCATCTACCCTGCAGACTAACAAAGCTCAAGCCTCTACTTTAAAGGAGCCATAAAAATAATTTGCTTGGAAAGCCAAGAAATCTCAAGTAAAGGACGTTGTGCTTAGACCAGAGTGTACCAGATATTTGAATTGCAGAAGAACAAAAAAACACAACCCTACAAACACAGAAAACTCCGTGAGCTATGGTTCAGCTCTCCATGGCAAACATATATCAGGCTGATCAGCTTTTAGTGCACATGCAGCCTATTTCAAATGCATAATAAATTTCAAAAGTTTTTTTCTAGCCCAGAGAGAGAAAAGAATAGAGATGTTTTCTGTAGAGAGTCAAAAGATACTTATGTGAGTACAAAACTTCCCAGCGGGTGAGGAAGGACAGTCAATTGCTGTTGCAGAGATCTGTAGCTTCCAGGCAGGAAAATTATGGTGTGAAGCCCAGAGAAAAAAGGCTGTTCATGGAAATAGCAGATTCCTTAGTACAACATCCAGCAGAATTTGAATGCTGTCCTGTGGTTCTGAGATGATAAATCAGTGATCACACAATTTTCTGCATTTCCAGCCTGTGGTATTCCCTACCATGGAAAGGCAGGAGGGTGCTTGGTGCTCTCTGTCATTTTGCTGGACTAAGCAGGCAGGCTGGGTGATGGCACAGCTGGGAATCCTGACACCAAACCAGGCCTCTAGCTCCTTGGAATAGTTCCTGTGTGAGCATGGGATGGATCACAAACAGGGGCTGCTGGGGGCTCTCTGACTGTTAAAGCAATGCTGACCAAGCTTGGAGAAAGGAAGCTGGCTCCAGCAGTATTCTATTTGCTCTAATTTTTCCAAATTTCATTATTTCCAAAGCTCCAGCTTTTGTTTGGAGTTGTGAAAAAGGAGCCTAAGAACCCATAAAACTCTTGAACCCAGTGAGTGAGTGGCTCAGCTCCTCTGTGAGGCCCGTGTCTCTGTTACAAGCCTCAGACACAACCTGGAGGTCTGAGCTGGCAGGATTGGAAGGCAGGGCGGCCTGAGCTCCGCACACAGCCGTGATTCCCCATCAGCTGTGGTGCTTCTCTGTGTCCCCAGGTATCCAGGCAGTGTGGGTGTTCCCTGGCAGCCTTTGGCCATGGCAGGGGTGAGGTGACAGTCCTGGGCAGCACACAGGCCGAGAGCAGCCGGTGGTGCCCCATGGCTCCGCTCCTGGTAGCACTCACCCCTCCGTGTACAGGCCGCGAGTGCTGCTGGCACAGCCTCCTCGTTCTTGTAGGTGACAGCTCCACTTTCCTGTTGCTCTCTAGGGCATTGTTTTACACTTTCATTGCTGTTATAGGATTCACTGTGCAAATAACAGACAAATAGAGAACGTGATTTGCTCTTATTTTTGATGGTGTGTGTTTATATGTACAAACTTGAGTTCCTGTTGGCTCGAGCTTTAGATCTCCAAGAAAGTTTTTGATGTGATCCCTTTGTACTGCCAATTTGAGAGAGCTGATTTTGCATTTTCTGACCTGGCATTTGTCTGGAGTAAGGAGCCAGAAGCCAGTTTATTGGTCTCAAGGCAGTGTGGGTGTAGGTTTAGAGGAGCTCCATGTGAGATACTAATTCATGGATGAGCTTCAGCTAAAAAGAACTTCAAAAGTTTATGTTGTCTTCTTCTGGTGTTACAAAGTTGTTTCAGGTGAAAAATGGTGGAATATTAAAGCTGATAAGTCGTTGATCTGAAGAGTAGGGATGGGGAAAACCTGTTAAATTATTCAGTAAGTTTTCTTGATAAAGCAGTGCTTGTTTCTAAAATACTTCCATTTCTACTCTCCAATCCAGACTAACTTTGCTGTTCACTGCTCCCTAAGGGTTATTATTTGCAGCCTGCCACAGTCTCTCTGAGAAGAAAAAGGTCCTTTTGTGGTCAGAGCACAAGACCAGGGCTCAAACAATTTAATTTTTGTTTCCTGACTCTGCATTAGGCTTTGTGGCTGGGCTCAGAAGCCTGCTGCTGAGCAGGAAACACGAGGTTCTCTCGCCTCCTTCTCATCTACATTTCAAATTTGCTTAGTCAGGACCTGTCTCTTCCTTTTATATTTAGTTGAATTTTTCTTTTTTTTGTGTATTTCTCTTTCATTTGGAAATAAAGTGTATTAACAAAACATCTTACTTGGCAGAAAATATTTAATACTTGAGAGGCATTTCAAAGCATTTTTTTTAATTTCCTTTAAACATAAAAGAGTTATTTTGTTAGAATCAGCCCTCAACTGTGGTAATTCTGTGCTTGCAAAGCAGACAACACTAGTTTCCTACAAGTATTAGGGAAAATAATTTTCTGGACTCTCTTGATCTTGCCATAGGTTCTGGGGTTTAAAATATTAGCCTAGAAGAGCTGACCCTCTCACTGTGAATGTAATTCTGCAGGCTGCAGAGGCTTTTTGTATGGCAGGAATTCTGTTTTCATGGTGCCAGATTTTCTTCCTGAGGTGCTCATATTTTTTTCTGCACATTCAATTTTGATGTTATTTTGTGCTAAGAAACTACTGAGTTTTATGATCAGATTGTACAGTAAAGCCCAGCTGCAGCTTTATGGGAGCAGAGGTTTAAGGGAAGGTTTGCATGGGAGTCATTTCCTGAAGTAAATTCAGTGTTTGGATGTGAAAAGGCCTTCTTTTCTTCTAGAGAAAAATCTGAATTAAGGCATATGTGCTCAAGTTGAATTGTTTTAAAATTACATATATGGGGGTCTATCTGTTTAATGCTGAAGGCTAAAATTGCCAGATTGTTTAATACACAAATCTTTCAGCTTGAACTATACTAGACCATGTACTTTTTGCATATACAGTAGAGTTCTGTACTGTGTGTAGTGCTGAACCAACAATACATTATACAGATGGTTTCAAAGGAGTTTGTACATCTACTGGCTAGAACTTTATAAAAAAGATCTATTGTTTTAAAAGAAAGAGAACAATTTCTCAAGACATGTCTACAAATCAGCTGTTTGTTTTTTCGGGATGGGTTGCAATGGGTAAGCTGTGCCTCTGAGAAACACATTAATAAACCTTTGGCACAGAAAACCTTGAGAGAAGCAAAGATAAAATTTGTCTGCTTACCTGAAAAGTTTGGGGTTTTTTTTTTGTTTTTTTTTCCCCTGGTTCCCTCTGGTAAGCTCATAAATGAACAGAAATAGTGAAATTGTCTCACAACTGGAGTAGCATTTTGTATCCACCAGCTATGGTACAGATCCATTAATACAAGGTATGGTGTTTGCAATGTTTGCTTTGAAGTACTAAATAAAAGAGAGCAACTAGGATATTCAAATTCCTCACAAGAAAGAAGACATGCTGTGCTTTTAAAACAAAATCTCCCTTTGCTTATATGGAATCAGTACTCCTGGGAAATCATTCCATACTTCTCAAGATACTTTACCATGAAATGCAGTAGGTGAAAACCTTGCAGGCAAGTATTGATATGGCCAGTCAGGTCTCAGCAGATGGTGTTCTAATGCTGTGTCCAAAAAATACAACATAAATGTTGTGTTGACAGGAACACAGAAATGTACAGAATAAGAACCACAATGAAATACATTCACATTTATAACCTGAGACATAATCTGATAGACTGTGAAAGAGCAAATGCTTTTGAGAGTTATTGAAGGAAAACACTATTAGCTTAAATTTCCACCCCTCTTTGAAGTTCGTAGCGTTAGGCCAACGCTGGGGATTCGTATAAATTACATTTTCAAATTTGATATAGAATATTGGCTTTCATGGCGAGATCCGATCCGTTCATTGCCTTCAGTCTGGATTGTCAACACTTATGAGTGTGGGCTGGCGCTGACACTGCTGCTGTCAACAGCCCCACTCCACTGCCTCCTGCAGCTTTCTGCCTTCAGCCTGGGATGTCAGAAACACTTCATTGATTGTGCATTGGGAAACTTAATCTGGTTAAATGGATATGTCCTCGCACAGAACAAGTGGTAGCTGAAGGTGAGAGTAGCGAAGCTGATTCTAGTAGAGAGAGATGGAGGAAAAGTGGAAGCAAAGCCTGCCTGTTCAAGTAGGACAGGTTTCTTTTAACTCTCAGGGGAACACTGGAGAAAAACTACTTAGGAAAAGTAGTCCATTTCTTTATGTTTCCAAATGAGACAAGGTATTTTTAGAAGATATGTTGTGATGCACAATTTTCTCATATCAATGCTTTGGTGAGAGGATAAAATTTAGGGGACTGTACTATACAGAAAATGATGCAAACTGCTGACCCTTTATGGCCTTGCAGGCTGAATTCTTTAAAATAAATCCACTGTCCATCTTGGTAATGATCTTTGTAGCAGAATCTCCTTTTGTGGAGGACAGTTTCAACAAATTTGCAAGAAATAAAACATAAAAATTGGTGCCTAAGAGGTGTTTCTAAAAATTCCTTTTATGAAGCTCTAAAATGCTTATAATATTTGACAGTTGTATGTATAAAAGCAGAAGGAGGAGACCAAACCACACTAAGTCAAGTAGTGTAAATAGCTATTAAAATGTATTCAGGTAGGATCTAATCCAGTGCCCTTTGTAGTCCTATAGTTGCTTCTTGTACCCGATGGTTCACCAAATGCATTCTGTTTTGTAAAGAGCACTCAGGCTTTCTTTTTGGTGTTATTAAAATAACTCTGTCAACACAGTAACCATAGATTTTTGTGTCGTTTGTATCATGAAAATTGAACCAGAAATTTAATCCCTTTCAACTGCTTATGTGAGCAGAATAGGCTCTGCAGCACTGAGTGGAGTATGCAGACTCTCTGAAACTCCTGCTTCACACAGTGGGAACAGGAAATTCCTGGATTCTTTGAAGGTGTTCCCATGAAGTCTCCTTACCTGTTCAACACTCAAATTCTCTGTGCACAGAGCATTTTTAGTCACATAATGTCACTGGTTATTGCTTTTGCCCCATCTCTTTTTCCACGCTCTTCATTCATCCCTCGTTGAGTGAAGCAAGAAAATATAGTAATTAAAAAGGGATTATAATACTGGAATTCTGGGAAATGCATGACTGAATGAATATTTTTTAAGGGGGACAGTGAGTTTTTAAAGAACGCATAATCTGCAGCATAAAAACCTTTTTAATTTTTTGCCCCAGCATTTGACCAGTTCCAATCAAAGATTTCATTGGACCTCTGAGCAACGTTTTCTTCTGAAATGTAAATTGCAAGCTTAATGTCTTCAAAACTACAGGCTTTCCATGTTTCCATGTGTGTTTGTGTAGGATTGGAGGCAGTGTTGATGTTTTGCTCTTGGTGGCTGTTGCAGGTAACGGCAAACACGTGCACTGGCTGCGGGGCAAGGACGGTGATGTCTGGGTCTGGGTGATGGGAGAAGCCCCGGGGGACAAACCCTACGAGCAGATCTCGGAGGAGCTCATAGCAGAGCGGGCCAGGCAGCAGGCACAGAAGGAGGCAGAAGAATTATGGTGAGGATTTAAGAATCTGAGTTCAGGGCCCACTTGGCATAATGGGAGACTTGACCCTGTAGAAAGGTGGCAGGTAATGGTGGGTAAAGCTGGTAAGTGTGTCTTTGAACGTTTGCTTTCACTTGTTTTGTCAGGCTTTCAGTGTGTTAAAAATGTCCTTTTTATTGAATATTGTTTTTACTGAATATCGAAAGCCAAAACCCCTCGTTTCAAAAAAAAAGTGGTGCCAACTTTTTCCTCTCTTGGGAAATTTAGCTAGACCATTGACCAGCCTGTAAATAAAGAAAAATGAAGCAGCCTGGTTTTGAGATGATTAAATTAGATATGTTTGTTATATCACAGTTCTGAGACCACAATGGGGGTTTGGTACATAAAATCCTTTCAAAATTGGTTTTATTTGCATTTTGCTAGTATTAATTCTTATTCCAGCAGTTCAAAAACTCATTATATAAAGTGCCATGTGGCTGTTTCTAGCAGGGCCTTTTCCGGGCTTGGGGGAGATTCAAAAGTGTTTTGATGCTTGATATTGTTAGGAATTAGGCCACCTGCCCCACACATTTCCCTTGTAGTGCAGCACTGAAAAGTGACTGTTTAAATATCTGGTTATTCTGTTATCCTAGATTATTCTTGCTTTGAGTGCTTGCATATTTAAGCAGGGATTGAAACCTTCAACCTGTGCTCTGAATTCCCTTTTTGTTGTCAGTACTAGTAAATAATCTAGCATTAAAATTTGGGAGAATTTTGTATTGCTATTTGTAAGACAATAAATTCCCAACCATGCTTTGCTAGACTAATAGAAAAATATAAGGTATGAATTAAAGACATCCAAGAAGTGCTTGTCTAAGTTAGAAGTGCCATTTTAATTAATAATTTATCAAAAATTGTAAATTATCTGCTTTCTTCAAATACGATTTGTGGTAGTTCTCTTGTTAAATACATTTTAATTCTTTTCTTGCATCTTTCTGTGAAGTCTTATGCTAATTATTTATTGCAAAAAGTGAGAAAGTATTGATCTTCAATTTAAGAAAATTAGTGCATTAAATTTCTATTTTCACATCCTTTTCTGAAGGAGACAAAAGGAAGCTGAAATAACAAAGAAATTCCGTGATGCTATGGCTCAAGAAAAAGCCAGAATAGTGGCAGAAAAATGGAAAATAGAAATGGAGGATCGGAAAGCAGCCAAACTGGAGGAAGAAAAAATTCAGGAGGAACTGAAGGTTTGCATAGAACAATTTAGTTTTTTTTTTTAATAGTATTTTCATATAGATTCATAGTTCTTGTCACCTTCAGTGCATGCTTATTAATAAACTTTAAAATCCAGAGCTGTAATTTTTCATTCTGGAATATACAGATAGCTACATGGTGTTCAGCAGAACAGCTGGGTGAGCGATGAGAAAAAATTACAGGTCTCATTCAGAAGTGCCAGAACAATCAAACTGGTTATTCAGCTCACACATTAACAGAATTGTTCAGTCAGCTGTGCTGGGTGAATCATCCTGGGGAAAAAAAATGTACAATTGGGAAAGATCTCATTTTAAGTTAGTTTGCTTGAATGTATTCTGTGTATTTTGGATGAGTTTGTTCATATAATGAACTTCAAAACTGTGTCACTACTTCCTTCAAAATAATAAGGGGAGGATCCTTCCCCCACTCAAAATATGGGAAAAGTCCAATTGGCTTTGCTGGGAGAAATTCATTTGCCTGATTTTTATTGACTTCATAGTGAACTTTCTGTGAACTCAGTTACAGTATTTTAATGTTTGTTGGAAATAATATTTTTTTTTCACATTTTCTAGTTGAAAATAGCAGTTTCAAAACTAAATAGGAAATGCCTCTGTCCGCCCTTTTCATATTACTTGATAAAGAGAAGAGCATGTTTAAAAATGAGAAAGTAAAATATAATGGGTTCAGTGTGCAGAGAAGTCCTCTGAGGGCAGGATGTGCAGGCTGGCACTGCACACCATTGGTGAGGCAGAGTTTCCATGGAGAAAGCCTGGAGAAAATCTGACTCCCAGCATCCAGCAACTTCCATCCATGCTCCTCTCCTCTGCTGACAGCTCGCTGTGTCTCTTCCTCCTTTCCTGGTACAGTGATTTAAGGTGTGGAGAGCAGGGACAGGACTTTTCCCATTGTCCCTTTGTGATGGGAGGAATGCTGAAAACTCAGTGTTAAGTTTATGTGGTTTGATTGCAAACAGCAAATTTCTTGTCACTCTGCAGACTGTGGGCCTGGGATTTGAGGTGTTGTGGAGCTCAAACCAGGGTGGTTCCTGCAGAGAAGGCTGCACTGAGTTCCTGATTTACCTTTGCACAATTAATTTGAATTCACAGGAGAGAATGGGGCCTTTGAAAATTGATGTCAATGAATAATGAAAGTATACCTTTTAAGTGCTTTATTAATATATGAATAATGAGCAGAGCATTATTTTACACTAAATTACTACCTAATTAAATACTCTTTGCTCTCTGGAAAGCAAAACCCTCTTGAACAAAGGCTGGCAGAGTGTTCACTTATATCTCTGTGGCTGATTTACAGGACACTTGATGGGGAAAATGTCCACAAGCTCACTGTTACTGTTCTGTTTCAATGAGACTTTTTCAAAGAGCAGAGTGAACAACTTCTAAGACTTTCAGTGGCCAGTATTCATAGCTTTCTACTAAGGAAAACTAGTTGTTCAGTTGTTGATACAATTACAAGGAATGGCATCAAATTCTGCTCATTTTCATGTTGATGGAAGGCTAATGTCAGAGTGATCTGTGTTTCCAGTTTCCCAGGACACGAGCAGGTGTCCTCCATCCAGCTGTGTGCCTGGTAGGAGCAAGGAACACTGCTGGAAGTGGGTTGAAATTGTTTCAGTTTCTGCTTTGAATTTCAAGTACTTAACTTTGGCCAGGATTTCTGTATCTCTCTACCTAAAGTTTCAAACATTTATTCTACTAAGGAAGTAGAAACCCCTTCTTTCTCAATGTTTTTTCTTAAATAAAGTATTTGAAGACAGAATTTGAAAAAAAATTAAATAAATGGAACAAAGTTTTCAAAACAAGACCCAGCTGAAAGGAACACTTTGGCTTAAGGAATTAGTCTGGAAACAAGATATGATGCAGTGATTGTTTTTTAAAATACCCTTTGTCAAGTGTTCTCCCAGCATTTCCTGTATTAATCCAACAAGAGAGTCTTAATTCCACTTTCAGCATTGGCTCTTCAATTAGGTCTATAATTTGAGATCTGTCAGGAGAGACTTGGACTGACCAGCAGAGATCCAAATGCAGGGTTGAGTCCTGGTGCTTTGACACTGCTCCTTTGCTGCTCAGAAAAGCAGCTTTATCTGTTACTTGCTCTTGAAAGATCAGGTCTTGTACATTGTGTGTATCTAGACAGGAAAAGGAAGTTGTGTTTTGGCATCCACATTCAACTGCAAGAAGGAACTACAGCTAAGGTACATGGAAAAAGATGAATTAATGCATCTACTGATGTATGACAGAGGTAATTGATAGAATGAAGAAAAGGATGTGGAATTTGATGCAGATCTGTAGGGCAAGCTTGCTTCAACAGCTTTAAAATATTTAATGCACTGGTAATCATCCTGTGATGATGACCAGACATGTTTAAAGAAGTCTCCAGACTGAGATATGGAAAGTTCAGTCTCTGCTAATGCTTCATCCTCTTGAAACAGTTTGACTTGGTAAATTGAAACTGTCTTGTTTCTGCTGGCATGTTTAATTTCTAAACACTCCTTTTTAAGATGCTTTTATTCCTCCTGACCTATCATGGCATGTTAGGGCTGTCTGCACTAGATAAATGATATCTTACATATCAAAGTGAATGATGATTCCTATTTCCTTTTCCAACACTATTTGAAAAGTATTGGTTTCCTTGGTGTTTCTTAAGCAGAATTGCCTTTAATTTATGATGCTAGAATATAAATTTTGACTACTCTAGTTTTGCAGTTTAAGGACAGCTATTCTTTTATGCACCTATTGCAAAGCATAAATAAGAAAGCCAATCACTATTATTAATCTTTTGCTAATTCACAAAGGCTATGAGGTCATAGGCATAATTTTCTGTGGTTATCAGTAGCTGTCATTAAGAGTCTGAACAATGTGCAGAGCTAAGGCAAATTAAAGATGTGAGTGTCATCCAGCCAGGGGTGGGTGTCTTTCAGCTACATTTAGAAATAAAAGAGCTCTTCTCTCAGTTCAGTCTTCATGTGGTCTACATAAAGCAAGAGAATATTAATAGCAAAGTACTGTCCTTATGACAACATCAGATACCTGCCAAATTTAATAATATAAGCAGAGTTGACAGCAGAACTAGATTGCTCCTTAAAAATTCCCTGGGAGATGAAATGTGTCTCATCAAAGAAGATGGGTTGAGAATCAACCTTCAGAGCACAGAACAATTAGTGCTTCTGTTCAGGAAATATCTAATTAACCTTATGCTCAGTAGAAAGAATACAATTTCTATTGAGCTTGGATGAGCTTTCAACACATGTCTGAATGCTTTACTGTGCCCCCAAGTGCTGTGGACCTGATTCTTCAGAAAATTGCTGCCAGATGTAGAGTTTAGGAATACAGTGAACTGTCACCATTGCCATTTGGAGTACTGTGGGCTTCTTATGATGGAGCAGTGAGCATTCTGTCTTGATCTGAAAAAAACTCTTGTCTCCAAGTAAACGTCAAGCACTTGAGTGGGACTGTTATCTCCAAGTGCAAATAAGCTGTAAGTTCAGCTCTGTGCTTCGCTGTGCCAAGAAAACATTGAACTCTTTCCCAAAGACAGCATATATAGGAATATGACAACAGCTTCTTGCTGGGGTTCAGCACCCAATTCATGCTGAAAGGGCCTGAGTTGGGTTATTTCAATGACAATTACAATAATTCAGTAATACCTCATTTTGTTTCCTTTTGGGTGTCCACAGTTCAGTAATCCTTTTATTTTCTATGCTGTTGTCCCTTGAACAATGTTGTGAATGTTCTTTTTGCTTGGGAACTGGTTTTCAGGTTTTTTCTATCCTACTTATAACTGCCATTAATTTTAAAGAACAATCTCTTCCTCAGTGACATCAGTAATGACTGCACTTCTGAAGATAATGTCTTCAGTCTGGATTGCTGGTAGAAACTAGCAAAGCTCAGTGTTATCCATGGGTAAATTGGAAAATCTGAGCCACTAATGAGGGTAGCTTACATGTTAGGAATTCATGCTGTGAAGAGGCTCTAAGGTCCAGAGACAAACTTTAAGTAGATGGTCACTGGATCTGTGATAAATTACTTGAGCAGAGCCTGTTCCAGCAGTAAATGCCAGCTCTCTCCCAACCAGGAACGGTCCTTAGCTTTATTTTCCAGCTTATGGAACACAGGGTCTTTGTGAATCAAAGTAAGTTGGTACCTCCTTGTATGAGATGTGTGAATAGCATGTCCTGGGACACATCCATGGCAGAAATCTAATAGCTTCTGCATAAAGCATGAATGCATTTCGTACATTTTTGGCTGTGCAAATACATGCACAGTGAAGTGATGCAAAGCCTGTGTTCCTTTTGAGAAGCTGGTAGTAGAGAAGAAAATAATGCCTCTGCAAACACTTTCTTTTCTGCAAGTGCGAGTATTTTCTCAGAAAAAGGCTGGGAAGGAGTTGGATATATTTCTGCTGTTACTCAGAGCTCTGTTGGCACCTGTCAGGTGGGTCTGGAGAGAAGGCTGATCTCTGAACTCAGCCTTGCTGAGAGCAGCCTGTCCTGCAGCCGGGGACCCTGGGGTTTCCAGATTTCCTTCCTCAGAGCAGGGAGTCCCTGAGAGCTCTCAGCTGTGTTTTAGGTGGCCTGAATGTCTTGCCTGGCCAGGTGGTTGCTGAGTGGGCTCAGGAGGTTTGCTGCAGCTGTGGTGCAGCCAGCTGGCTGCAGCTTTCAGGGTGCCAAAGACACTTTGTGCCAGCCTGAAGCACTGAGAGAACCCCAGGCAGTATTTGCTTCAGAGAGGGCTGTTGTAACAAGTATACCTTGTGGGTTTTGCCCTGAGCAGGATGTTGGTCATTCAGCTGCCCTGCATCCTATAAGACTCCCCAGAAAGACCCCAAGAGCTGTGGCAGCCAGAAGCCCAGTTTTCCTCTCTAAAAAACACCACTTTTTTCTTTGGCCTTTTCCTCAGTGTATTTTTTAAATCTTTCTGCGGCAGTGATTACCTAATCTCCTTTCATTTGCCTTGGACTGAAACATTAAAACTCAACTATGGCTAATATGAAATATTATGTAGAGCTGCCCATAGTAAAGCTGTCAAACAAGGCGAGACACACATAGACAGAAACAAGTTTGTGGTAAATTCTTGGCTGCCAGAGGATAGATAAGATCATTTCACATATTCAAATTCTCCAGTGGAGTAAAGGCTGGAGAGGATTACTGCTGCCTGTTGAATTGCCAGTGTGATTTGTTTCAGCAGCTTGGTATTTCTCAACAATTTGCAGCTCTGTACTGAATTGTCACCTTCCTAATTATTTTGGCAGAGCGGAAAGGGTCAGGCACAGAGTACGATCTCTCTCAACTTTCAGGCAGAAGATGTTTTTATGTATTACAGCTGTTCACTCCCAGCTCTGATGTGAAGGATTGGATTCCTGGGGAGAAGCAGACAAACTGTTTGCTGTATTCTTGCAGTGGAGTAAATGTGAAAAGTTCAATTGCTGTTCATTTTAAATACAAGCACGCGTTGTTTAGTCATATTGACAAAAGGATGACTGTTCTTTCCTGTGTCATACCAGCAAGGATTGTTTCTTCTCACTCACACCTTAGGCAATATACCTGCACATCTATGCACTAATTTAATAAATAGAAGTTAAATCTCCCCTTTCTGTAAAAAGAAAAATTATGAGAAAAAGTTATAGTGAATTCAGGATCAAGTACCTGTGTTAAGTTTTTGTTGTTGTCTCTTCCTTGACTTAAATCTCCTTCTCAGTTAAAAAGGTAGGATTTTCTTAGTTGGTATTGTTGCCTTCCATTAAGAATTCAAACTCTACCTGAATTCTAGTCTTTGGTGTGTGTGTGTGTGTATGTGTGTGGGCTTTTTGTTTTTCTTAGACCCTTTCATCTTTTTACTAGAAATGTTTCAGCCACAGCTACATTAAAAAACAAGCCCAAACCTACAACAAAAGTCTTGTGTGATTCAGGGAAACTGCAGTGAGATTGATTTTTTTTTCCTCCCCCTCCTCTATTTTTCAGTTTACCTTGTGGTTTAAGATGTTGAATACAAAATATTCTGATAACCCAGGATTGCTTCTGTGTCTGTCCATCTTCCTGAAGGATAGACTGGTTATATTGAATTTTTTTAGGTAGTGAAGATAAGTGAATAAATATTCTCCTCATAAGAATAAAGAACAGTTGATCTCATATTTTTCTCAAGAAGAGAATTGAGCCATTTTTTAGCAGCTAAAATGTGCAGTCCCTAATTCTACAGAGATATTAAAAATGATAATTTTTTTCCTGAGGAAGCTGCTTGGCTTTGAAATTAGCATTATCTAAAAGCATTGACTATTCAAAAATAATGAATTGTCCACTCAGCTCATGTTTTTAGGAGCTAGGAAATAACAATGGAAGAACAATGTTAGAAATGATCCAAGATAGTAGCATTAGCATTGACTGAAGAACAATACTAGGCTTTTCTTTCTCAGAAATAATAAGAGCAGCCTAATATATTGTTCATAGAATCACATAAGGGTTGGACCCTTAATCTTAATCCTATAAATGTCATAGGATTAACATTTTGCACCAATCTACTTTGGGTTTCCCTTACTTATAGTTTAGGTCAGGTAGCTAGTACAGTAATTCAGGGTGATTTCACTCATTTTTTTACTCATAAAAAATTCTTACCTGTAGGTTTGTTACCCATAAGTGTATAGTGTTGGTCCCATTATAAAATTAAATAAAAACTGGTTTTATTTGTAATTCAAGTTATTTCAATAATATGAATAACACTTAATGAAGTTCAGTTTTGAGTTTTTTGTGGGCTTCAGTTAAACTGTATGATTTAAATCTGCTTCTTTACTGCCTAAGGGATTTGGGAAAATTCATTGGAAAACAGATACAGATTCCTAGTTCTGCATTTATTGAGCTCCTGTGTTATTGATAATATGAAGGAGGCCAGCTGCAGAAGCAGTCTTTCTCAGATTTCTGTCTCTTTTAAGGCTTTCTTGGAAGGGAACTTTTTTGGCATGTTATTCTTAGCAACATTTTGCAAAGTGACTGTTGTGTGCTGAAGGATCTGCCTTTTCCTCCAGAATGCAGTGATATTAGTTTTTGGAAAATAATATTCCCTGTTTTGGTTATGATACATTGGGACAGTTACTAAAGCAAGAACAGCAATACATCAGTTCCTGGCTTTTAAGGTTCTGTGGATGATGTGTGTAGTGCTAGAAGGCAGCACTTTGTACCTTGGTTTAAGTCCATGAGTACCCCCACAGTAACTTTGGTGGGGGTACTCATGGACTTAAACCAAGCTTTGCTTATGGCCTGAGGGATATCACAGGCTTTGGTGCCACGTGAGAAAATATTTTCTGTATAGTTTTCAGATCTTAGATGCTTACATGTTCCTCATTCCTGTGACACCTGTGCTCTCAAAATGTGCCCTCCTCCTTAGGAATTCCTAAGGTGGGAAAAATTCAGTGAGAAAATTTTGAGAGGTAAGAAGCCCAAAGTTAGAAGAGACAGTGATTTACTCAAGGTAATGCAGCTTCTCTGTGATAGGAAGCAACTGAAGCAGTGTCTCAGCTTCTGGCACATTCTTCCTCTTTAGTCACTTCTGGCTTACTTCATTTTCTCTAGAAAAGAGAAGAAGAGGAAAGACAGAAAGGTGAGGAACTTATCAGGCAGCAGGAAGAAATCCGGGCAAAGGAGCTGTACCTGAGCCTGAAGCAAGCTCAGCAGCACAGTCAGCACAGCGACGATGACCAGGAGTGGGAAGAACAGTGTGAGTAAAACTACCTTCACAGCATTAGTGTATTTCTGAAAGCAGATAAAAGGACACTTGCAGAATGGAGAAGGTGTGGCCAAAAAAAATCCTCTTCTACCCAGAGCAATGCAAAGTGCTGTATTATTCTGGTGGAAATTACCAGCTTAAAATTACAAACAGAAGTTTTGGATTTCTTTCTGAATCTGAGTCGATGCCTTATTGAATTTTTTTTGTGTACAATGACTGAGATCATTAAATTCTGTCTAATGTACTTAATTAACAGTTTTGGCTTAGTAATAATAACTCGGGGCACAGCTATTTTGACAGCTTGTCCTCAGCTATCTCTGAAGAGATAAAATCTGTCTTCATCAGTATTTTAATTGCTTCCATATGGTAGTGGGGTGAAGCTATGATATCAATGCTGAAACTCACTTCATTCCAAAAGATTCCAATAAATCATACTTAGATTGTTGCTCTAAAAAAAACACCTGATGATGATGATGATGATGATCTCACTCTGTGGAAGTACTGTTCCTTTTTAGATAGCCTGAAATTCTTTATGAATATCATAATTGTGATTAATTTCCACTCTTCTTTTGGTGATTTTTAAAAGCCTATAAGGAACAGAACAACTATATTATTGTATAGATGTATACATTAATACTGTAGATAAATAAAGGTCCACATTAGCAATAACTTTCAAAATACACAATTAGTTTATTTTATGGATTTAGTCATCACTTCATTAATTCCTGAGGACTAATTACTGAAGAGCTATTACCTGGAATTGATCTGATAATGAATCATTCTGTACAAGATGAATTAAATCTATATGATACACTGCTGCCATTTTCCAAGCTCATAACAGGGTATGTTAATTTTGATCAATAAAACCTCTGCATATTACACTGTCAATAAAGATAAAGTAATTTTCTGGAGAATTATCTAAATCCAGGCATACATACTCATATGGAAAGGAAAACTATCTTTCTTTATTTTGGGTATGTGAGAGCAGAACAAGTTGGTGAAAAATTAGCCCTTTAATTCTGCAGAAAATCAGCATCAGCTGGCAACACAGCATAGAGGATGGTATTGTGTACTTCAGGATTTCTTTGATGCTATATAAGGAAAGAAAACACATTTCAATCATGTTGTTAGAAAAAAAAAGAAACTGGGTTACCTTTACACTGAAATAAAACAAAATACTACAAATACTACTAAAACCAGGTATCATTTTCTTACTATTGCATTAATGAGGTAACTGATGTTTTAAATTGTTGCCTCTATTTTCTTGAGGAATGCTGTTTGTGCAGGGATAGACATCAAAAATGCAATAGAATAATTATGGAGAAGGGAGGGAGAAAAAGGAATAAGCTATGAAAGGTTTTGACCATGAGTTCTGGAATGGCATTTTTGGTCTATTAAACCCTTGTGACTGCATCACATGCTGGTGGGAGTAGTCTGCCACCAGAACTTTTTTTTGGTGAAAGCTCCTGGGGTATTGTGTATGCTCTGGAGGAATTCTGTCACCTCCAGCCTGTGTGCCTCAGTACCTGCAGCTCTGTTCCCTCACCCTGAGGGTGACCAAGAGCAGCTCAGGTGCTCAGAGCTGCTGATCCTGGTCACCAGAAGTAGCTGCCGGGGCAGAGCAAAAGCTCAGCACCTCCTCTCTCGCTGCTGGGTTTGCAGCCTGCTATAAATTCTGTGCTGCCAGAGTTATGCTGTTAGCAGTAATTGATTTAGCATTAAACTAACTGCAGACTAATGACTAGAGTGTACCATATCCTTGTTTATCCTCTTATGCTTATCTCGGTGTGTCAATTTATCCCTGTTGGTTTGAGGGCTCAGAGCCGTGCTCCATTAGCAAATGGGTGTAACAACTGAAGATAGGAAGATGCAGTGTTTAGTGCCTTATCTGAGACCAGTTGCTGGATGGTTTAGACTATGCTATCAAACTTTGCACTGAGTTTCCTCAGGCATTTTAACATCTTCCATTTCCTTAACTTTACTGCAGGAGCCAAAATGTGCAGCAGATAGTCAGTAACAAATATTTGGAAGTGGGGACTTCTGAAATTGCTATGAAATTAATTAGTACCTCAGGTTCACCAGATTTCTCATTTCTTATTTCAGTTCCAGATATTATTTTCTTTTTTTGGTAATCCTTCCATTTTGTCTGCAAGTATTCCTGTGGGGCACTGAGAGAAAATTTAGTGAAGTTAGGTAAAGCTGTCCACAAGTCAGCTTTTCTAAGTAATAAATAAATGCATGAATGCATAAGAGAATTACAAGCAGATGTAATATTTACATTTTTTGCCTCTACAAACCTGCAGTGGGGATCATATTGACTATTAGGAACAAGGCCAGGCTCCTTTGGGTCTTGCCTCCTTGAAGTGAGCCCTGCCCAGTGTTGCACAGTGCTGCTGGGGAGCAGCAGTGCTGGAGCAGGTGCTGGGGAGAGAAATGTAGCAGTGGTATTGATGACACTACTAATTTGTTTAGTAGATGGAATTCAGCACGTGATGGGGATTCATCTCTCCTCTCACATTATCCCTCAGCTGTTTATTGCCAAGGCAATAAGCAAAGTGGTGCCAATATTATTTTCTGTTGTTCGGTTCAGTTTGCTTCTGCTGTTTGCCAAAGAACAATAATGGCCCATAGAACTACTGTGTTAATTGAAATACATGATTTTAGGGCTTTTAATTATACTAAATAACAAATGTAGAATAACTTGGGAAATTGGTGCTAGAAGGGGAAAATGATTTTGTAAGAGCAATTACACACTTTGATTTCATATAAAAGATATATATTGGGATATTTTAGAGGGCAGCTGTAAGTTAATAAGTCGAGCAGGGATATTGGTTGGCAAGTGAAAAGATGAATAGTGCAAGACTTATTCAGAGAGTCTACTGTTCAAACTCTTATTTTTGAAGCTGAGAAGCAAAACTAAACTTGGATAGCAGAGGGTATGTATTCTCATTAGTTTTGGACATTTTTGTGCTCTGTCCCATTTTTAGGTTTCTAGTTTATTTAAGTGTGACCTCTCTTTGTGAAAGTAAAAAAAGAATCTGTGAAACATGATAGGAAAAGCTGTAGCATGAATATTCATCTGATTGAATATTGTAAAAGGCATTCTGTTAATACACTTACAAAGCCCTGCAAACTGCATCAGGCAGGGAAGTGCTCAGATACCATCTGATCAGCTTTATTCATCTCCAGAAAAAAAATTATTCCAGTAAAAATGTAGACAGAGATGAGTGAGATGATCTGTTCTTTTGCTTTACCCTGAGCACCTACTTTTGGTCTCTCTTGGAAGAAAGATATCAGGCTGACTCATTATAGCTTCTTTTATATTGTTGTGTATTTATGTTCTTCTACAAATGCATCTATGAATTTATTTTTGCCTGACTTTTAAAGGGATTAATTGGGTATTTATGTTCCCCAAAAATTCAAGTGAGTTTACTGGCAGGAGCATTGATAAAATGGTGACTTTCAAAGTGAGTGGTCCCCAGTTTAGCTATGCATTAACTAAGCAAGTGCTCAACCTTACATATATGTGCCCTCTGAACTCCAATAGATCTCACAGTGCATTGTTGAATAGGAATGGGATTATTCACGTGCTTATAGATAAGATTGCTGAATGCTGAAGCCATATTGCAGGAGAAGTAATATTTTCCACTTAGGAAAGGATAAAACCACTGTGTGATTTGTATGTGCACTCAGAAAATCTGAAGATTGAATTTTATCTATGAGTAATTTTCAATAGCTCATAAGCTTCCAAAAAATTTTAATAAGGGGAAAACTAAAACAAAATCATTTTAAAATTCCAATGCATGCTCAAAGCATATGTTTGGGTTTTTTTCACTTTTCACACATCTGACTGTAAATCAAAAAGTTTCTTTGTGCTCTTCAAAAGCACAAAATAGATTATAGGAAATGAATAAGTCCTAGTCTTTCAAAAATTATTTGATCAAGTTCAGCTGCAGTGCAGTATGAATTAATCCTCATCTATATCAAAAGATTTGGTATTAGAACTTCGCCAGGACTGCAAATAGGGATTTCTCAATCCTAAGAAAATATAGAAGAGGCACCTTAGGTTAGCATAGAGAAAGAACAGATTCTCATAAACTCTTCATGGAAAACAATGTTTTCCAAACATGGAAAACAGCCCCTCTAGGAGCCAAAGAGGCCCTGCACACCCAGCTTTGGGGTTTGCTCCTTGCTGTTAGGAGGATGTTCACACTGTGTCACAGAGATATGTCTGAGCTGGCTTTCAACTATTCATTTCTAGCAATGCCAATCAGATAATGATGGCAGCATGGACCTGTCTTGGATGTATTTACCAGTTTCCAGGAGGGTTTGGTCACCTCTCTTTGGCCTGCTGTGCTGAGGCTGCCGTCACAGTGGTACCCATCTCTCTGAGCAGCTCAGACATTTCTACACAAGCTCCAGTTCCATCAGGGCAGAAATTTCTTCATTTTATGAGCACCTGTTCTTGGCATCACCAACTCCACAAGAGAAAACTGGTCTTGGAGCTGGTCTTACAGGACTTGGCTGAACTGTAGATCTCCCATGGGCTTGACAAATTCCTCATTTCCCCATCTTGTCCATCCTTACATTATTCCATGAAATAAAAGAAAGATGTAAGAGTTCATAAATTGTTATTTGTAATTATTTATGCTAGAAATATGGATCTGTGATGGTGGTTTAGAGCTTTTAGGGTTTTTTTCAGATATCTAATTTCCCCACTGAGAATATTGACTGACTACACTACTAGTGTTTTTCACAGGGGTCATGCCAGAAGTAAATTTACTGTAGGACAGCCAGCTAAGAAAAGTAATCTGTTTCTACTTAACTCAGTACTAGAAGTCCTGACTACTTTTTCTTTCTTGTTACCAGAAAGATTACGATGTGTCTTGAAATACAAGGAACGTAGAATTTTGGCTTCTTCTATTTTAAAATATTTGTGCTAGACTTGATCCAGACATAAAGTTCTCCCTCCTAGTGAGATGGTTGAAAGCCATACAGAGAAATATGAATAGTCATGAAATTCTATTGTAAGAAAAACCTTCTACAAAAATACATCCAGATTTACCTTCAGACTTCGAGTGACTTTCTCAAGATAGATAAATTTGTGGGAAGTGTCAGTATGGGAGGATGGTTCATGTGGTAAATATCATTTTGTCTGGGCTATAGTGAAAAACCTTTATGTAGATTCCTGACTGTGATGGCTTTTTCCCCAGTACTATTTCCAGTCACCAAACATGGTTATTGATGCCAGTGACTTTGATTATTTGCTCAAAAAGCTCCTTGACCAATCAGAGATCAAAAGAAACTTAGGATCACCTAGAAACACAGGTCCCCAGTTGAAGCTGTACTAGACAACTTCTAAAGGTAGAGGAAAGAGAAAGATGTTTTTGGGATTAACTACGTGGAAGGAGATAGGGAGAAAATCAGGGGTCCAGCAATGAGAAAAAATGGATTAAGAGATCCCATGCATCCCTATGGTCAATGATACATGAATGGACAATTCAGATACTTCCACTGGGAAATTTCAATAAAAATTCTTCCTAATGAGAAAGAGATGATTCTGTATATACAATCTCTATATGCAGCTTTCCCTATCCTTGTGTATACACAGACACATATACATGCATATGGGTATGTACATAAATGTAAACACATATACATACATGTGTATGTATGCATAGGGAGTGCTGCATGTCATACTTCCAAAAGATCTTCTGAATATTGATATTAACGACTGCAAACTATGCAACCTCACCTCATACTTCTGTGATAAGAAGTACTAAAGTTTGATAGTTTGGGAAAATGTAGTCTGGGTCACTGACTTCTGATGGTACAGATGTGTACCGGATTTGGCTAGCAAAAATACAATAGGAATATCTATTGAAAAGACTGCCAATTATTGAGGAAAGTGGGGCATGAAGATACCTTGCCTTTCTCATTTCAAGGCAGCCAATCATCGGTAGAAAAGAGTCTCAGAAAGCTCCAGGCAGCCCACCCTCAATCTGAATATTGTGATGGTGACAAACAGTTGAGGGTTTCTAGATGTCTTGCAAAGTTGCATCAGTCATCTTCCTTGCAGTCTCTCATAGTGCTGCAAGCAAAAAGTTCATCTTTAAAAGTGACCATTACTGAGTGGCTTTATAAGGGATAAATCACAGAAATACTGGAGCTATTGAAGCAGTATATGCAAATGACATTATCTACCCTTAAAAATAATGATCTGTAAGATAAATAGTGAAGTCTATTATTTATGTTTCCTGTGCTGTGCATTTGTTTATTATTGTGTTTAGCCAAAACTGCAGGGTATGTGGTTAAGTGAAACTGAAATCCTGCCAGTTGTATGCATATGAAGCATCTATGACTCGTTTATTATGCTATCTTGATGAGCTTTTAGTCCTGCATATCTTTCTGCTTATGATAATATTATATAATTCTAAGCTTAAAGGTATTTTCCATTTCCCTCATTTGCCCACAAGGTTTTATTTAATTTCATTTGGCTTTGAGTGTTTTTATTTCTTGATTCCATTAAACCTTCTTAGAATTTGGAAGTTAAATCCAGTTATACTTCTGCTTGCTTTTAACTGGGATTGTAAACCAGAGGCAAGCAAGAAGACAAATAAAATGAAGTTGTCTGGTATTATATCATGCATTGCTAGTCACAGGTACAGTGACAGGGAGTAGGAAATGGAGTGTTCCCTTTATGGACTGGGTATGATCTAAGCCAGGATGGTCATGGCAGGATTGATAATTGCTACTGGAGGCCATAGCTAGCTTCTTTAATATTTGCTTCACTGCATGTTAAAGGTTTGTTTTGCACTGGAATAATTTGCCTGCCTGCAGTTATTTGTGACTCAAAAAAATCATCCAAATGGGGCCTAAGGCACCAGAAAAGAGCTGATAGATGATGAATATTTGCAGTAGAATTCTCAGTGCATTTAAGTTATACCATGTCAAAGACAGGATTGTTGGAACATTAATTTTAAAATGAAGAAGCTTTAGTGACAGATGCCTGAGCTGCCCTGGCCAGAGCAGCAGTCCCATTTCAGGTTACAGAAATGGGTAACTCCCTGGTCAGTGCCACTTTTAGGTGTGTATTCTGTCTTCCAGTACAAATTCTGGTTCTCCATATAAGATTTCAAAGACTAAAGTGTGAGGTAACCCCAACAATTGCATCAACACGCCCTTTCCAATGGCTATTAATTTATCCATTTTTACTGAAACCATTTTTAGACTGTGAATTTCAAATTGGAGATATCTGTGACTATAAGTACAATGACAAAAATAGCATATGCCTTTCAGAAAGCAAACAGCACTGACAAAGTGCAACCTACATGCCAGTTTTTACAATGGTAAATTTTGGGAGTTGAACCTTCAATTCTAGTTATGTTCATAGTGGAAAAGAACACTGTTGGACACATACTTAATTTTAAGCAGTAATTAACATCCCTTCTTGAAACATAGAACTTGGTGCACTTCCAGGAGAAAAGATGTCCCCAAGCAGAATGTCTCTTACTACAGCCAAAAGAAGTGTCAGATTTAATCACAATATGTAGAGGCTCAGTTATTGCCAGTAGTGGTCAGATCATTGATAATTTGAGGCTTCTTCTAGAGGTGGGCCTGTGTTTGAAGCGTCAGGGAAGTCATCCAGTTATCCGCCTTCAGTAACGTGTCGCAATTTATACATTCTTAAAATCAGCTCATATAGGAATACAGGCATTAAGCTGCTCTGTAAGCAGAGGGGCAGGTGGCTGTTTGTCTTTCTAAATCTCTCCTCCTGTCCACTCCGTCCAGTGCGCCGCTCCAAGGCTGCTGACGAGGAGAGGAGCCACAAAGCGCGCAGGGCGCGGGACGAATACCGACGGCAGTCCCTGCGCGCCATCCAGAAGGGAAGAGTGGCTGGCCTGAGTCATTTGTTCCAGGGGACAAACCTGGGCAATGATCAGGAGATCAAAGTGAACAACAACAGTGCGACCCCTTTGCTGTCTCCTACAGCGTCCAGGTTGGTTTGTGCTGAAGCGGTTTTGAAACAGTTTTCTCTTGGGTCGCTCCTCTCCAATCCCCACTGTCGCAACAAGCTATTCTTCAGGTTTTGGGAGTCCTCAGTCTTGCTGTTTCCTGGTGATCAGAAAAAAGAATGTTTAAAGGAATAGAAAAACAGATTTAATGCAAACTAAATGCCATTTATCTTCAGGCAGATTTCTTAGGATTCACACAGAGATGACTCCTTGAAAAGACGGTATGAGATCAGTGTGCGAGGCTGTGATATAGGGAAGTCAAATGGACAAATTATTAGGCAAGTCTTAAGCCTCAAGTCTAAAACTGCCTGCTGCTTAACAGCTTTTTTTTTTTTTTTTAGAGAGCTGTCCTACATTTCAGAGGCTTTTAGTTTTTTGTGGCTTTTTTTCAGGCAAAACTAAGTGTCTTTGGTATTTATTAATCTTTCATTTGACTATTTTGGGAGCACAATTAATTGCAGTAGAGGAGAAGAATCCAAACTGGAAGATTATTCCTACTAGCTAAAAACACATAGAAAGTAGAAGAAGGCGTAAGGCAAGCTGTCCAGTAGAGAATGCAAAGGAAACATTAAAGTTTAAACAACACATTCCCTCTATTGTGCTTAGTGGTTTCTGTTTGGAGACACTGTGTATTATAGATGATACTGATTTAGAGTTTTTTGCCAGTAGAAAGGAATATACTCAGGAAAAAATAATTTCTTGTCAATATTTATATTGGAATAAAAATGAGGTGGAAAAGGAAAGCTGACTGAAACACCCATTGTGATAAATTGTTTTTCAGTTTAAGTTCAGTAAGGAAATGTTTACAGTGCTATTGCAAATGTAAAAATCACACCGCTATGATTTCTGTAAAAAAACACAGTAATTTTAACAAATTTTAAAAAGTTAAAGTTTTCCAGCGAGTTGTACTGAACAGAAGTTATGCTGACCATTTTGCAGCTGTGGGTTTTGTAAATATGTAGGAAAAGATGAATATTTATATTGTCCCTTGCTTTCATACGCTGCTGATGCTCTGTCTTTCCGTTCAGTAACATCTGGGAGCGCCCTTCTCGGCCCTTCTCCCGAGATGTCATCATTCGCTGGTTCAAGGAGGAGCAGATCCCTCGGCGGGCTGGCTTTGAGAGGAACACCAACAGGATTGCTCAGTGGTTCCATGGTAATTCCCTGATCCCTCATTTTGTGTATAACAGAAAGCTTAACTCTGAAAATAACTGCGAGCATCTGCTTGGGAAATTAAACTTGCCAGCTTTCACCTCAAAAAGCAAAGCCTAATGGCATGGTCAAACAATCCTGTTAAAAAAAGACTTTTGCATTTTTTCTACTCTTAGCATATTATTTTCCCATTTTCTTTTTACTAATTGAGTAGGTTAATTTGGGACTCATATCAACAAAGTTTTTTTCAGGAATATTTCAACCAAAATATACTTGCTGTAAAATGGTAACCTACCCATGAGTACTGAGAGCAAGATAGGGTGAGAAGTACTCCAAAATTTAGTGGCAAATAGTGCAGTGATATGGTATGTGGATGACTGCCACTCAAGTTTTTGATTTACCTGATTTGTAAGAATGACTTGAACTCATATATTTTTAATCTTTGTTATAATTTATAAATCAGGGCAGCATTTTTTATTTCTTGCTTTCTTTTGCAAACATTTTTTTTTCCTGAAAAATAATTGATGGTGTATAATTTTTGGCAATTTTCCTGTGACAAACTTTGGTGATATGAGTCCCATCTCTGACACTTTTGCTTTTTTTGCGTAGCATTTGCTATGCAGCTGAATCTTTGTTATCAAATTCACAGGTAAGACATTTTTCTAGGTATTAGCAATGATCTTTTGGGAGACTAAAAAGACTTTAAAGTTAAATCTCATTTTTTTTCCATTTCTGCTTTTGATGAGTCTATTTCTTTGTTCACTAAGCTGACCCTGATCTGATTCATGAGTCTCTAAGCCTAAGATGAAGATGTGTGGGCATTCTGAAGTTCTGAAGGAAGATTTCTGAATAAGTTTAGTGTTTCATATATTTCATATTTCTGTTTATGATACACAAATCCTCATGTGTTAGAAGACATCAACAAGCTGCTATTTTCTTTGGCTTAATTAGTCAAAGACACTGAAGTCAGTCATATATAGCTTGTAAATGCTAAATACTTTCATTTCGTATGAGCAATGATGCAGACAGTGTTGTTTGTTTTCTTAGAGAAGAAATTTGGTATGGTTGCTTTCTGAGAGACAAACATTAAAATTTCATTTGTGGGTATTTGCCAAAAGTTCTTCCAACCAGGATCTTTCAATACGATCCAATAATAAACGTTTTCCCTGTGTGGGGAGTTTCCATGCTGTGATAAATTTGTGATAAATCAAATTGCTGTGAGAAGTTATGAACATAATTTATGCTTAAAGTGAAGGAGGTATCTGGGCTTGAGCCAATGCCTGTGCAATCTTTATACTAATTTGGGTGGCTTTTGGATTACCCTGTTAATCTCTGAAAGAACTGAGACATTCATGATAACTCTTTAATTTCTCAGGTCTTGCTCTTCATATCTTGTGAAACTGAATGTAATGACTTATAAAAGTGAGCAAAATGCCTAATGTTTCCTTCTCTCACTCAAAGAGCCTGACAAAGATAGTTAAGATACACTCCAAGCCTAAAGCTCCGTGGTTTTCTTTGCAGGGACCCCTGAGAGTGCTGCTTTGGTACCTATTTGCTGCATGAGTTATGGCTTCTGCAGGTCTGATCAGATTAATTGTTACAATTGTAAATTGTGAACAACTCAGCTGCCTTGTAACTCTTCTGCAGTGGTGGAATCCAAAGAGGTTATTACAGGTGCAGTAATTAGTGTTTGGTATGGTTATCTGGTGTCTGTGTTACAGCTTGTAATGGACACAAACTCTGAGGAAAACCAAACAGAATCACAGATTATGCTGAGTTAGAAGAGACCCACAAGGATTATCGAGTCTGACTCCTGGCCCTCCTGTTATTTTGTATTTTATTCAGGGAACCAGGAAATTATGTATGATTTTTAATGATTTTTGTCTATGAACAAAATTATAGCAGAATACATTTGACTTGTATAAGAAAATTGCAGCACAAATGAAAGCCATTCTGCAAAGCCCAGAATTACAGCTGACAACTTGAGCCACTGGGGCACCTCAAGCACCTCTCACAACAGCAATAATCAGGTCCTTCACATCCTTGAGCAACTTCTGTATTTTCTTATATCTCAGTTTTGGACCATAAAATGGCAGCTTAATATTCTGCCTCACGTTAAGGGTTTTTTGAATGCGATGGTCTAAGAGTGCTATTGCAGCAGTACTGAAAAAGTAGATACCAGTTTATTACAGAATTACATGTTTTTACCAGGGTCAGTAGAGCTTGGCTTGCCTGCTCTGACTGTCAGGCTGTTCAGCTTTTCAGCTGAAGTTAAGAATTATCTGATTCACTGTCTTCAAACTATAGTATGGATATATAACTCATTCTAGTTATACAGAGATGGAGCCTTGAGACAGATGTATGTAGCTAAAGTAGCAAAGTACAAATAATAATGCGAATGTCTTTATGCTCATATATTTGGCTTATTTTCCACTTTAAGTCATCAAACCAACCTGGCTTCCATTTAAAAATACAGATTGTCTGAGGCATTTTCATGGTACATGAAACAGGGTAACATACGGCCTGCTTAATGTACCTGAAGTTTTCCTTTTGTCTTCATTTGAAGAATCACTACAAAATGTTTTATTTGAAGCAGGGTAGCAAAATCCGTAGTAACAAAAAGTCTTTCAAATCAGAAAATATCTTTCTTTATTCACAAAAAGTTACTTCTTAAATGAATATCAGCTTCAACTTCATCCATCTCTATTTGTCTCTTGAAATTATCATCAGTTATCTAAATTCCAGCAGATGTTTTTACCTCATTTGAAATAGGCTTTCCTGTTTTCTTCATTTAAAAAAATGACATGTTAAAGATACAAACTGTAACATACAGCTGAATTCTGGATCTAAATTCAGTTATTTTTGCGCTGTTGGAATAATAGATCCCTGCCAAAACCCAGTTCATTTGCCCTTCCAATCTAGAATGATGTTTTTTAAGTTTGCAAAGAAAAATATTACATGCCTATTTTCAAATGTTTTTTATAAATTAAACCCAACTTTAATCTAGTCCTAAATAATAAAATTATAATATGATCTTCACTTCATTTGGGTTGTGAAGCAATGAACCTTTTTTTAAAATAGCTTATGCCCACTTTATGGCTGCAGTGCAATTATACTCAGTTCTCAAACTGTTAAAACAAAGAAGAATCAGAGCCAGTGATTAAGGTGTCACCGGGCCTATCTTGGGATTTAATATAATCAGTGTTTATTTTTTTTGTATTGTCTAATAGTTGCCTTAGGTTTGAGTGAAAAGAAATATTCATTTTTTTTTTGACTATGAAAACTAGGAAAGTGGTCTAAATTAAAGGTGAATTCTGTACAATCTGATAACCAGAAAGTTAATAATTGTATTCTGATTTCCTACCTGCTAATTGATGAGTATAAGCATATAAATCAAACTTATATGGGCATCCTAATGTTGTATCAAGTTGTATGAAAGGTTTTTGGTAACTTGAATTAAGAGCATTCTTTGCCAAGATCCCAATTGCTGATATGCTTTGGAAGCAGGGAGGTAAGCTGGTGTTTAGGATTGGAGAGCTGTCTCTCAAATAGGCTGGAAAGGAGGACACATTCCATGTTTCTGCCAAGTTTAGCTTTGAACTGGATTGGGACCCATGCTGAGTAAAGGGAAAGTTATCACTCTTCCCTATTTGTTGAAGAGTTTTGCCAAGCTATCATAGATATTAGCAAATCATAGTTTTCAGTTAATTGCAGGCATAAGACACTTGGGATAGAATTCCATATGGCAACAAAACTAAAGACCCTTCCTCCCCTAAGTATTTAACAATAAGTTGCTGGTGGCTGAAATGTGTATTGTTTCCATGTTTGCTCTTTCATTTGTCCTTTAGCCTTTCTCTTGTACTTGCAATCTGTTTCAGCATTTTTTTTTCCCATTCCAATTAGTTTGTCAGCTGTTAATTTTGAAAGTTTTGATATTTTTAACTTCAGATATTAGATTGTTCACCCTCATGTACTCTGTTCTGCATTTGGTTATTTTCCATTCAGAATATGGGAGTGCTGGACTTTGTAGAGGGTGTTGCTCTCAAAATATTTCCAGCTTTAAAAAATTTTCAGCTTTAGTTGAGAGCGATGTTTTATGGTTGTTGCTGTTTATACACAATATAACAGGGATCTCTCAGGTGTGCAGTGAGCATAGTACAGAACTTATTTATTGCCTGTCTGTGGGTGGCTGTGTGCATCTGCTGCAGCACTATCAGATCTCCACTTGCCTTCAGGTTGAAAGGAAAGTTCAGAGGCTGATATCACAGATCTGGAAACATGAGGTAGTTGCCCTGAAGGCTGTACCTTTAAAATGTAATTGCAGCAGCATGGCTGCTATTGTGGAGACCCATTCCAGCAGGGGAAGTCAGAGTGGTGGTGCAGTTAAGGGAGTTAAGGGAGTGGGGAGCTGATCAGAGCTGATTGAAAGAATTCTAAGAGATGCAGGAGCTGAATAATCTCTGAGGTCAGGGGAGCCAGGGAAGAAAATTTTCAGTTTAACAGGAATGTGTTGCAAATGTTTATAGATCAAGGTTTATCCTCAGATGGCTAATGCCGTTTTCAGGAAGAAACTTGTTTTCAAGAGGAAAGTCTCACACACCAAAAGAGTGATAATGGTTCTGCAAATCAAGTGTTCTCAGCAAAGGAAGTATTTCTGAAAGTCTATTAATTATGAGTCCTTGAACAGCAATGAGGGCACTGGGCATATTCATACAGCAGAACTGTGGGAAATATAACATATAGCTTGTATTGTAATATTTTTTAAAAGGATACAGAAATGGCAGTGGTCTGTTTGAAAAATATCTAACAAGGAATAAAGTTTGCTGCTTTGAGCACAAAAACATGCTTTTTCTTCTGCTCTTGAAGAGGAACCTTCCAGTTTTTCAATAAATGCTTTTAGAAAGATGTAAATCAAGTGTTGTAAATCCATCAGAAGTACACCCTTCTTGATATTAATGATCAGTTTTCTAATTCACTGCTTTATCATTATCTAGGTTCTAAATC